TTGACTTTGCAGTCCAGGAGCAGAGGTCCCTGGGACCATCAAGGGAGAAGAACGGAGTGTGGGACCCTACCCAGAGAAGCAATGATGCTAGTGATGGAGGCAGAGATGATGACATGGAGAGAAGGAGCAGCTGAGGACTCTAGACCCAGAAAGGGAGAGGGGCTGTGTGCTGACAACCGGGGGGCAGGCTTGCAGGTTATATACCCTGTGGTTGGTTGATAATTCATGTAGGGGACTGTAACCATGGCAATGAAACAATATATGATAGAATGAATGTAAAGCTAATGTTCTCCATGTAAACTATCACATAATTCGCAATTAAACATTTAAAAAGAAAAAGAAGGAGATAATCTAGTTAATATAGATTCACCTGTTATACCTATGGACACAATAATAAAATTCATAGGGTTGATAAACCAAACAAACAAAAAAAAATAAGGATGAAGTATACGCTTACTGTACCAAAAAAAATCTTTGATAGTCAGCCATTTCAAGATGTATATATTGAGCACTGATAGTGTTGAAGGAAGTAGTCCAATCTGCATTAAAGGCATTGGCAAAATCAAGGCTCCAGGAATTGACAGAATATCAAATAAAATGTTTCAACAAACAGATGCAGTGATGCAGATGCTCTCTCATCTACAAGAAATTTGGAAGACCACTACCTGGCCAATCAATTGGCAAAGAGCCTTATTTGTACCCATTCCAAAGAACGGTGTGACCCAACAGAGTGAAGACATCATAGAAAAAAATCATTAATATCCCATGCTTGTAAAAGTTTGTTGATGATAATTAAAAAGTGATTGAAGCCTTACATTGACAAGAAGCTGTCAGAAAAACAAGCCAGACTCAGAAGAGGACATGGAAGGAGGGATATTGTTATTAATGTCAGATGGATCTCGGCTGAAAGCAAAGAATACCAGAAATATGTTACTGGTGTTTTATTGACTATGCAAAAGCATTCAACTGTGTGGATCATAATAGACTACGTATAACATTAGAAAGAATAGGGATTCCAAAACACTTAATTGTGCTCTCACAAGGAGCCTGTACAATTAATAGGCCATGAGGCAGTCATTCGAATAGAACAAGGAGGTACAGAATGATTTGAAATCAGGAAAGATGTGCATTAGGGTTGTATTCTTTCACCATTCTTATTCAATCTGTATCCTGAGCAAATAATTTAAGAAGCTGGGTTATATGAAGAAGAATTTGGCAACAGGATTGGAGGAAGACTCATTAACAACCTACGATATACTGATGACACACTCTTGCATGCTGGAAGTAAAGGGGATTGGAAATACTGATGAAGCAAATCACTTCAGTGAATAGGAAACAAAAATCCTCACAAATGGGAATGCAGACATCACAGAACAATATCATTAATACCACATTAAGGAAAACTTTGCTGAAGATATTTCAAAAACAACTGCAATAGTTGTCAGGAAGTTTCCAGAAATTCAAATCCAATTCAGAAGAGGACATGGAACAAGGGATATCATGTTGACATCAGATGGATCTTGACTGAAAGCAGAGAATACCAGAAAGATGTTTCCTGTGTGCTATGGATTCTTCAAAGGTATTCAACAGTGTGAATCATAACAAACTATGGATAACATTGGAAGAATGGAAATTCCAGAACACTTTATTATGCTCATGAGGAACCTATACAATTAATAGACCAAGAGGCAATCAATCAAACAGAACAAGGGGTTACAGAATGGTTTGAAATTAGGAAAGGTGTGAGTCAGGGTTGTATTCTTTCACCTTACTTGTTCATTCTGTAAACTGACCAAATAATGAGAAGCTGGATTATATGAAGAAGAATGTGGCATTAGAATTGGAGACAGACTCATCAACAATCAGCAATCTGCAGGAAGCAATGATACTTCTTCAAAGATACTTAAAGTACTTCACTAATGAAAGACTACAGCCTTTACATTGAGTTCCAAGTATGACTTGCAAATCAATGTAAAGAAAACAGAAATTCTCACAAGTGGACCAATAGCTAACCTCTTTATTATTTTTTTTGTTAGTATCATTGAGTTAGTCCAAACTCTTAGTCACCCTGTGTAGGGTTTCCAAGGAGCAACTGGTGAATTTGACCTTGTGGCTCAAACTAACCTTGTCCCGTGCTTTATCCCATAGCACCACACCAGGAGTTCTAAATAGTATCATAAGTGGAAAAAGGATTGAAGTTGTCAAAGACTTCCATTTTCTTGGATCCAGAGTCAACACTCATGAAAGTAGCAGTCAAAAAAATCAAACCACATATAGCATTAGGCAAATCTGCCTTTAAAAAAAGACCTCTTTAAAGTATTACAAAGATGTTAGTTTGAGGCCTTTGGTGTGCTTGACCAAGCTGTGGTATTGATAGTCTCCTCATATGCATGTGAAAATTGGACAAAGAATAAGAAACACTTTAGAATAATCATTGCACTTGAATTAGGATGTTGGTGAAAGGTATTGAAAGTATCTTGGACTACCAGAAATATAAGCGAGTTTGTCTTGGAAGAGGTACATCCAGAATGTTCCTTAGAATCAAGGATGGGACTTCCTACTTGGAACATATCAGGAGGGACCAGTCTTTGGAGAAGGACATCATGCTTGGTAAAGTTCAGGGTTAGTGAAAAAGAGGAAGACCTCCAAGGAGATGGACTGGCACAGTGGCAGCAACAATGGGCTCAAACATAACAATTGTGAGGATGGCACAGAGCCAGGCAGTGTTTCAGTCTGTTATGCATATGTCCAGATGTGAAGGAACTGGCATGAAGGTTCCTAACATAATAACTAATTTAGCATGGCCCTTTAGAGAGGAAGAATGCCCAGTTCCCTGACAAGGGAATGCTGAGCACCAGGCATGCCAGACATTCCGTTGGCCAAAATGGATAGAGGTTGGGTGGTGGTGGTGGTGGTGGTATTTCAGGGTTAGCATTAAGGAGCCATAAACGCAGCACCTCCTGAGATATAAAGCTTATTCCACCCAACAGTTGCCTTTCCGAGGCACATTCCACCCCCTTCCATTATGGGGAGAAGAAGTTTAAAATTAGGGCCAGTCCTGTGGGACTGACACGCGCCAGATGCGAGGAGGCTGTCCCCAGAAATAAGCTGGGTCCCACTGTGGATGGGCGGAGCGGGAGCCTCCAGTCCCTGCCCCAGCGGAGGGGCTCCTCGAAGGCCTGCCCTTTCCAAGAGTCTCCAAGGGGTCTGGCCCCAAGCTTTAAAATCCAGAGCGAAGGCGCTGCGTCCCAACCACTTCTCTCCTTTCCAGCCTTGGCTTGGCTTTACAAGTGTGCAGCCGTCCCCTCCCTTCCCAGGACCAGCTGCGCCGCGGGCCGGCTACACTTGGGACACTGTCTGACCGCGGCTGCAGCTGCCGCCGCCCGGCGCTCTCTATTTAGGAACCTCCAGCTTACCGCGCAGCTCCAGCCGCTTTGCAAAGTGCACGATTTGCCTTGAACTTCTCCCTCCCCAGGCTCACGGGTGTTCCCGCCCCCACGATCCCTCTCACTAGGAGCAAACCGGTCCCAGCGGTCTGGCAGCGTCACCCCCTTTGCAATCGTCTTCCCAAAAGCACGACCATGCTGTTAAGAGGCGCCCTCCTGATGCTGCAAGGTAAGATCTGGACTCTGGCGACCCCCACCCAAGAGGATGCTCTCGCGACTCGCTCCCGCTCCTGCTGCCCGGACTGTGCTGGGCTCCCTGTCCTGGGCTAGGCGATCCCAGCTCGCCTCCCGATTAGTCTTCGCAGCCGCTGGCCTCCCTCGCTAAACCTAGCCTGGGGTTGTGTTGTAGAAAAGGTGGCGCATCTCCCTCCCACCTCTTCCCGCGCTCCTTCCCCACGTTCACCAGGTTGTTCCAACGCCCCCGGGAGCCGGGGCTGGTACAAACACTCCCGGTGGAAGCCGAACTGAAACTCGCTTTTTGCCGCGCAGCCCTTCAGCTTGCCAGAGCCCTGGACCTGCCCGCTGGGTCCTGCGCCTTTGAGGAGAACACTTGCGGCTTTGACTCGGTGTTTGCGTTCCTGCCCTGGATTTTAAATGAGGAAGGTAAGGGAGCTCCGTGGAGAAGTCCCTATGTGAACTCTCTTTCTTGATTGTTGGCTGTTTGGCATGGATCTTGTTATCTGGGAGTTAAATCCCCTGTGGGGGGGAAAGTGTGAGTCACCACGGATCAGCCAAGCCCTCCAAATCCTCAGCTGGGCTGTAAGGGATGGCCCTTACAGTTGGGGGTGGCCATCCTTTGTTTACCTGGCCATGGGTGGAAGCATGACTCCTTAAGGGTAGGGACAAAGGACTAATGATTGTCATCCACCAGCTGTGTGCCTCCTGGCAGGCCATCACCCGTCCTGGTTCGCAGTAAACCCATCCATCAGCTGTAAAGGTTGCATAGGGCTTGTGCCCTTCTGGAGCTACAGACATGGTTTCATAATTCTGCTCTGGGACCCGAGGGCAAAGACCTCACATGCATGTGTGTCTGCCAGTGTTTTGTTGGGTGATTTCATCTTTATGCTCCTGTTGTGGTATTTAGGACCTAGCACTTGACAGAAGAGGAAACTGAGTCCTTAATCTTGTGCCAGAGTCACTCCTCTCTGGGTGGTGGTCCCAAACAGTTTAGGTTCTGAGAACAAAGTTTTAACTGTGAGAACTTCTGAAGTGTCTTTTTACTTACTCTTCACTGATGGAGTAAAAGATAACTTTGTTCTCCAGTGCCCAGCAGGAACTCTCTTACTTGTGTGTGTCTTCACCATTTAGAAGCCTAATGCCCCAGCCTATTCAGACTAGAAAAGAACCTCTTTTAAAACATTGCACCATAAACAAGACCCCATTCCTCACTCAGTTGCCCTCAAACCCCCAAATCATCAAATCTGAGTCCCTGGAGAAGGGCCGAGCCTCATAAACCCTGATCAGGATTATGAATGGTCCAAAACCTTCTTCCAAAGCTGCTGTTTGGTACACTGAATGTGTTAGAATCTCAAATGACTAGCTCGGGTCACATAGTGTTACTGAATGGTCCAATCTAAGCAGTCTAATCATGAGTTACTAAAAAAGGAAGATACTAATTCAGTCATAATCTTTTTCTCCAACAATTGCCAAGTCTTGACTACTAAAGTCTGTTTAGAGGTGGCTGGGGAAAAGCACTCCTGATTTAGTATCAGTGATTCCAACCTTACCCCTGGAAACCTCTTGCATCTCACCACCCGACCCTTGCCTGTTAGGGCTGTGTGTTAAGCATTTTGAGAGACAATTGTTTCTGTGGCTGGATTTTGAAAGCATTATTCTCTAGCATAGTGCTTCTCAAATGGTAGATGTATCAGAATCTCCTGGTGGGCTTGTTAAAACACAGATTGCTGGTGCTCAACCCCTGGAGTTTCTGATTCAGTGTGTCTAGAGGGAGACCTGAGAATTTTCATTCTTAACAAGTTCCCAAATGATGCTGATGCTGGTGCTGCTGACTGTACTATGAGCATATCTGATCTAATGTTTTATCTTGTCCTCCTCACTGTATGGCACACACACACCCATCAGTACTCTTAGCTATGAGCAGGACTAAGATCAGGTGAAAGAGCCTACAAAAAGTGAGTGCCATGGACACTTCAGTAACCTCACTCTCACTTTCCACCTCTGGGCCAGTGGGCATGCTACAACCCGCTAAGCACACTCCTGTCTCAGGGTCACACGAAGTGTTCTCAGCTGAGTTGGCACATCTGCACCAGAGTGGCAGTTAAACGGGCTCCCTTCAGGGAAACAGGAAGATGCTTAAAGAAAAATGTTTACTGGTATAATGACAGCACTGTTCCTTTCCTTTTTGCTTTCATTCTGGCTTCTAACAGCCATTGCTTTCTGGCTCAGTGCTGCAACTACTGGCATGGTTCTGAGGAGGTAATTCATTCTCCTCTGAGCACTCCAGGTCGGGACTGCAAGGCGGTTAGTTTTCAGTCATTACACATCTAGGGTTTCAAAGGCCGGAACTTGGCCATAATGGTCCACTCTGGAAGGGCAATGAGGTAGGTGTGTGCCAGCTGCTGCGATGGACTGCTGAAGCCATCACTAAACATTTCCATTATGGACCAATTCTAGGTTAGTAAGTTGCAGATAATAAAATTGTCCTCAGCTGAAATGTGGCAAGCTGTCCACAAGCCTCTCTGCAAATGTACTTCATCTTGTTTCAGAAATACTTTGAAACTAGTTCCATCCACTTTTGTGTCTAGGATCCACCATAGAAAGAATGGTCTTCAGATACTTTAGCCCATAAGTAGTTGAAGCAGAAATGACCCTTTCTATATGTCCTTGGGAGCGCTGTGGTTCTGTAGGATAAGTACTGGACTTGTTGTTGTTGTTGTTGTTGTGTGCTGTGGAGTAGGTTTCAACTCATAGTGACCCTGCACAGGGTTTTTGAGGCTGTAAATCTTTACGGGAGCAGAAAGCACCATCTTTCTCCCGCAGAACAGCTGGTAGTTTCGAACTGCTGATCTTGCGGTTTGCAGTCCGATTCGTAACCAGTCCTATGCTACCAGAGCTCCAATTGGACTACTAACCACAAAATCGGTGCTTCAAACCCACAAGCCGCTCCTCAGAAGAAAGATGTGGCTTTCTGTTCCTATAAAGATTTACAGCCTCAGAATCCCTATACAGGGTTGCTATGAGTTAGAACTGATTTGATGGCACTTGTCAACAACCGCATCATATGTCCTTGGTCAGTGAAGGGATTTAAGGAGGAAAATGAAATTGCAGATTAGAATTTCATAACAGGAGAATCAAATCTGGGGATAGTTACAAAAATCCCCTTATCTCAAAATATTTCCCCAGCTGCCCAAAATGGCTTTTGAGGTCCATCCTTTGATTTATTTAGAGTATTAGGTTGCCAAGCATCTCAGATTATACAATTCCAATATCCCTAGTTTATGGCCACTAAGGGCCTTTTAAAATATGCTTTATCTCCACTAGGCACAATTTGACAGAGCAGTGGTTGGCTTGGATCGTGGACCATAATGGAGGATACCCCCACGAAAAAAGTTGTTTGTAACAGGGTGCTGTACCCCAACCTTGCTTACTTTCTAATCTTGTCTAAGGTTATCGTATTTCCCTAAATTCCCTTTGTGCTTTTTAAAGTAATATTTTATTATTTTTTTGGTAAAAGTTTACACCGCAATTAGGTTTCAAACTAAACTATTCATTGATATGGGTTGCATTTTTACCTCTATGCTTTTTGTAGAATATTCTTATTTTCTCTAACTTGTCAAGAGAGGTGGGATTATGTCAGACTCAAATTTGAGTTCACTTCTAAAATTTAAGTTTGAATTAAATCCAGAAAAGGAGGGGTCTGTTTTATGCTATACAAAATCTTTATTAATTCATTTAACCTATTTTTTTTTTAAGATGACCTTCTTTATTCATTCTGAGTTCAAAGAATATTAAAAAAAAAAAACCTTTGATCTATAGCCCTTAACTGAAATCCATTGTTCCATTGGATATTGGCTGGTTCCATTTCCCCACATGTTCCCCACCTGCCAGGTGTAGAAGCAGAGGTCCTTTGACTCAGCATTCTTGGAGCCCATAGAGTTGACCGAGCATTGGGACGGGTCACAATTCAGATTAGTCATCCAAGTAGATTGTGGCTTCACTCTCGTTTTGAACACTGTGTCTTTTAGCACCTTTAATCCAGCTCTGTGAAGCAGTGATTGGAAGTGCTGAAGGAGGGAGGAAACTACAACAAAACAAAATCTAGGCATGACTCCCAAATGAGAAGCTTGAACATGAAACACCTAAGAGAGGATGGTGGATGGGGAAATGTGTCCCATGAAGAGGCAGTGAAAAAGGATATTCAAGTGTGTGTTGTTGAGAAAGGTGATTTCTACAACATTGGAGGTCAGGGTTTGAGAAATTGCCTAATACTGGAGAATTTGAATGTCTGTATACCTCAGAGCCAGAGATAGTATCTGAGGCCTTAAATTTACCCACAGAAGGTAGGCTAGGAGGTTTGGCATGGCTAAGGAGTGGGACAGATGTGACAGAAAGTACTGAACTCACATCTCAGTGCATGTGTGTACACGTATCTCTTTCTGACACCTTCTTTCTTCATTCAAACTTCCTTCTCATTTGAGGACACTCTCGGTTACTGGGCCTTGTGAGTTTCAGTTCTGTACTCAGTCTTATGCCAGTAATTATTAACAGTGATAAATCCCACCTAGTATGTCTCGCAGTCCAGCTGGAGCTAACATCTGGACAGTTCCCAGAGCCTCTTGGATCTGTGTTACCTCTTCTTATTGGTGTCTCAAAACTCTCTATGCAGAAATGCAATTCCAATGTGTGATGAAACTGGAACCCAGCACAAACCTGGGGTGTCTCCAAGAGACCCTTAGCTCCAAGAATTTGGTGACTTATTCCTACAGGATTATTTGTCATTCCTGGTGCTGCCCTGGCTGCTACTGCTGTCTGGTTCAGCATGGCTGATCTGGGTGTGTCTGAGGTCAGCCTTGACTCTGCCCTCAGATTTCTGAGGGACCCCGATCCTAGAGCTGAGCTTTCTGGAAATCATACAATGCAATCTCTCCCATTGTATGGATTTGCTTCCTGAGGCCTGGATCTTCTTATTCCCTATTTGGTTCTAGTATAGTTGCCTCATTGGTATAGGTATTTTAATGCAAATAATGCATATGTTCTATGTTTGTTTTGCCAACTTCACCCTTTCCCTCTCCTCAAAGTATTTTCATAAGCATGATATGCCAATTTCTTTTTAACATGTTGCTGATTCTGTTTTCATTGGGTTCTAGACCCTGAAACTTTCATGTGCTACTTAGACTCAATAAAAGCATGTGGAAGGAATGGAGTGCAAAGATACAGTGCTGCTGGCCTACCAAACACGTTTTCTGCCATACTGAGCAATATTTATTCATTCTTTCAGATGTGTAGGGATCCTGTCTGCCTGCAATCTTCAACATCTGGAAAAGGTCCTGGCACACAGCAGGTGTCCAATAAATACTTGTTGAATGAATTAATGCAGTAGTGGATTATGAAAGCATTCTTACTGCATTTTCCTATGTGCTCTT